CTGCCTCCAATCTTGATTTCACCAATGAGTTCTCTTACATGATGATCATCACTTAGTCTTGGAGGCTGCAAGGATGCCACTTGTGTGACAAAGTATGTCAGATGAATATGGTGCTGTAGTACAATTGAGTTTCACAAATCTGGCATTTTTCTTCCTTGCACTTCTCCAACCTGGAAACTTTTGCAGGTAGAATTGGAATATTGGAAGCATTTTATTGAGATTTCTGAACTGAAAGAAACCCAGACATGTCACAGCTTTGGTAATGTGCCATGCCTGGGGCCTTCAGCCATCTTGTTAGCAGTAAATCTCCAGTGCAGCCCTACTCCTAAATACTGTGATTCAGTGCATAGGAAACCAGAAGATGTGCATCTTGTGCTGATAGCCTGTGATTTTTGTATTCCATTCAAAAGTCTGGTGCTTGCTTCTACATCTTTGGCATAATTTCCTACTTCCTTGGTTGCTTATAGGGAATACTATTAGAGGATGCAGTCAAGCGTGCAAACCATAGTTTTATTAGGACGGTCTTCAGCTACGTGATGTCAGTTAGATGTGCTTCTTTCTTTGCTTTTTTGGATTCTGAGAGCAAAAATGTAGGCTATGTTGGCTCAATTTAAGCCAAGCCAAAAACAACTTGCTTTGTTCTGTCTGCTGCTCTGATGTCTGATATTCCAAGCACATCATTGTTGGGTTGGAAAGTCAGCAGCACTTTTAAATATTCCTGAAACTGTGCCTTGATTTTTACATATGACCTGTGCGATAGTCCAGGGTTAGACATTTCTAGGAAGAAAGCTGCAATTACTTTTTATTGCCAAAGCTTTTCTAATTGACTTCTACCTGACTTTAAGAGCTACTGATTTTGATTACTTTCTGCTTAATATTGTTGAATGTTAACTTAAATTTGTAAGGTTTTTGAATGACAGATGGCAAATGAAAACTTATAGTGTGCATGCAGATGATATCTGATATGTTCACTTTAAAGTTGTTGCTAAATTCCAGAGGCTTTTATTGATTATTCTTCTTCTTTACTAGAATCGTGTAGAAATAAATGATGTAGACCCTGAAGTTTTTAAAGAAATGATGAGATTCATTTACACAGGAAAAGCTCCAAACCTTGAAAAAATGGCTGACAATTTGTTGGCAGCTGCAGACAAAGTAAGTAATTGACTCCTAAGTTCTGAAACCTGATGTTTTTTGTGGAATGTTGTTCTTAAACAAAAAAAACCAAACAAAACCCAAATCTTTTTTCAGATTGATATGTATTTTTTTTTAATATGAGAAACAGATCTCATCGGAAATGGAAAAAGATGGGAAAGAATAGAGTTTGGTTTTTTTAGCAGTGGAAGGCTGATAAATCTTTCTTGATTTCAGTGTTTCAGATATTAATTATATTTACTATCCAAATTTTTTTTTAGAAATTGGGGACCCTTAATATGATTCAGAAAACTGTTCTCGAATAAAATGTATCCTAGATCTTTGTATTCTTGAAGAGGATTTATACAAGTGTTTGAATTAACTGTACTCCCTAAAGTATTGCTACTTCAGAACTTTCACTTTTTTATCTTCCCTACAATTGTAATAGTTCTAATCTTTCATCTCTTCTGTATTGGGATCTTGTCTACTCTTTAAATTGTTAGTCTGTGAAATACTTTTTCTGCTATGGTTTTTGAGATGAGGGGACTTAGAGCAGCACAGCAGTTAAGGTGAGATTATTCCCTTTCTTATCATAATTTACAGTTTTCTAACTTGTAAAAAACTTGACCCAATATTTTGTTTTTTCTTCACTGCTTTACAGCTTGCGTTGAAATTTTAGTTAGCTATCCTCAGAGGACACACAGTTGTCTTTCCCTGAGGAGGCATGAGTGTGTTCTGGATTCTAAACTACTTATTTCAGTGTGTGTAATCTGAAACTTTTTCACTCTCAGCTGAGAGTATGGCAATTTCTTAAGCTACCTTTGCGATTTCTGAATTGATTGTGCAATCATATCCGTAAAACATTGGTGCTGAAAGCTGCCTGTTCTCATAATCAATCCTAATACAAGTCACTTAAGTCATCTCAGTAGTTAATTTCAAGAACAATTATAAGTTTTTTTCTGGCCACGTAATTTGTTCTATTTTTTTCAAGACCTCTTGTCCTGACACTGCCCTGGCTTTGGTGACTTGCCACTCTTACTCTTTTCACCTCTCATTGCCAGCGTCTTGTCTTCCAAAACTGATGGTGTTTTGTCAAATTTCAGGACACTCAAGCAGGAAGGTGAAATGGTGATATTTTATGAATGCTGGCCTTTATTTAGGGTATAATTGATAAACGTAGAGAATATTCTAAGGTACAGTTGTATGATTGTCTGCCATACCAGGAAATAAAACTGGTGAGCTAGGAGGTCCCTATAGCTTTTTATAACAGTTGAAAACTGCTAGAACCTTTCTGCTACTCCTTCTGAATGTGAAATAATAATCTAAAAATGAGTGTTCTGCATGTTACCAAAGACATTACACTGCTGTGTTATCTGGTAGGTACAGATTGGTTATAATATTTATTTACTCTAAATAGAGATATCCTGAGGAGTACTATAGTAATAAAATAGAAGTAAAAGTACATAGGTCTAGAAACGTAGAAGTTAGCCCAATAATTTGTCTTAAATGGCATTCATTGCATAGAACAGTTGTTAATATGGATGTATGAGTGGCAACTTGAACATATGCCACTCGTATGTCTAATTTTTTTTGAAAACTGTATCTGAAGGGTACTAAACTAAATGGGATGGGTGAGATCTCACTAGAAATGTATATAGCTGAATGAAACCTGTTCAGACTATGACATCCTTCAAAAAAGAGGCACAGTTTATTCCTGTGAAATATAATATGGGAATGCAATTGTTTTATATCAATTTTCTGGTAGGCTGTGTCAAAGTTATGGAAGAAATTAAGAAATTCAGAGATGGAGGTGGGGCTAAACTTGGAACAAGCTAGTTTCAAACAGGTTAATATATTTTCCCTTGGACAGTTTCACGAAACTTTCCATTGTATGATTTCTTGCCCCTTGCTTTGAGGTATAAACCTGTCTGATGATGATTTTGATAAAGAGCCCGTGTCTGCTTCTTGCTCTTCCTCCATTACCAAACTGAAGGAAAACGAAGTTCTGAATGAGTTGTTTTTGTTGTTTTAATAAAAGTTCTCCCAGTAAAGCATTTGATCAGTTTGTGTCGAACCTAATGTATGTCTTACCATTTGAGGACTCTTTAATACAGCATGTTGAATTTTTAATTACCTGTTTGGAAGCAGTTTGATGTTAAGCTTGGGAGGCACCAAGCGTTTTCATGACTGGAACTGTCTTAAGTACTGTAGAGATAACGGTAGAAAGAATGAGTTTGAAGAATGATTAGTGTAGTTTTTTCTTTTATCAGTATGCACTGGAACGGCTGAAGGTCATGTGTGAGGAAGCACTCTGTAGTAACCTCTCGGTAGAAAATGTTGCTGACATTCTTATCCTCGCAGATTTGCACAGCGCTGAACAGTTAAAAGCACAAGCAATAGACTTTATTAACAGGCAAGTAATATTTATGAGACTCTAAATATATTTGTATTTATGCTTTGTGTACCTTTTCAATATTAGCACAGTTCTCTCTTACAGGTGCAGTGTTCTTAGACAACTTGGGTGTAAAGATGGGAAAAACTGGAATAGCAAGTAAGTTTCCCTGCCTCACGATGTTCTGTACAAACACTGCTAAATAGACTGCAGATCTTAAGAACTGTTGCTTCATTTCCACACTACTGAGGCCAGTCACTGACTGTAAGTAAAGTAGGATTCAGCAGATGCTACCCCAGTAATGATTGTGACTTCCCCTTTAAATTATAAGGAGAGTTAACTGCCCTCCAGTGTGAGATTGTAACAATAGCTGGTTTTCATTCCTCTCCTAGGGGCATATCAGTGCTGTGAGATGGTGGCAGCAAGCTTTATAAAGGAAACCATTCTCTTGACTAACCAGATTTGTGCCTGGAGGAGTGACAACCCCAGTTTGGTTTCAAGACTTGCTTAGGTCAATTTGAACCTGCAGTATTGCCTGAACCTGCAGTATTTTCAAAGAAAGGAGGGCAGTTGCTCTTTTTGCCTTCGGCGACATGTTTGTGCATCTTCCCACATGCCAGCACTAGTACTCTTGAGGCCACACAACTAGTTGGTCAGGTCCCTCTGATCTGGCTGACTCTGTAACTGCTCATGCCTACACTGGAAGTAGGTTGAGAATATGTGGCTCAGACTGTAGGACTGATTGCAGCATATATTTAGAACAGCTCAAGTGAATCATGGAATAGAAGATAACCAGTGGTAGGCTGAAACAGTAGAAGGACTGCAGAGCACTTATTTCTTTTATTTCTTATCGTCAGAATCTCCAGAGAAGTTAAAAGCTGTGTTGTTCCAGTTACTTTAAAATTAGAGTGTTTTTTCTTTTTAAAAAAAAAAAGGTTCACAGACCTAATGAGTGAGCATGATGTGGAAAAGGAAGGGGGTGGTAGAAGGTAAACAGTAAAATACCAGTAGAAGAACTAATAAAGATAAGTCAGAATACATAATAATGTAAACTAGTTGATGTGTTCCTTCTCAAGTGATTTGGAATATACTGAGCTGACTTCCATCTTTGATAATTGCTAGTCAAGATGCTGGTCATCTTTGCTTCAGCTGAAGCATCTACAATAGATCAGGGAAATAATGGAAGAGGGCCTGGCTTCATTTACTGCCTCTGAGCACCAGGGAGTCTGAACTTTGGTGGTGTTTCTCAAGGCACTTACCTTTACAGACTTGCAGCAGAAGATTAAAGACTTGCATTAGAAATCTGCAGAAGGTTTTTTCTAGAGGTCGTATAGCGTAGAGGTCTGCTGCTAACTTTATGCTTGACACTGTTCCTGAAACAGTATGAGGGTGCTCATGAAGGGCTTTTGAAAACGCAGGACAGTGGACACTTGGGATTGATGCATAAGCGGTTGGTTCCAAATTACAAATTTATCCTGTGTCAATGTGGCATGCATCCCAAACAGTGTAATATTATTCTTGTGCAGAGTGAAATTTATGCTTTTGTTTTATATTATTTCACAATAAAGTCAATATATACATTGAGTAAATACATAGTTTTTAATCTCCTGAATGTCAATGTGATACTTGCTGAAATCTGTTGTTGCTTCTGCGTTAGTTAAAAATGAACAGTGGCCATTGAAAGCCATTCTGAATGTAGTCCATGATCTTGTACTGAAGAGAGAGTGAATGTTCTCAAGTATGCTCCACTGGTACTGAAACTGCAAGCTCCTGGTGAAGGATTCTGTAGTCAGCCAGCTAATCTGTCTTTGACTTTTTCTAGTATATGAACTACATCATTTTTGCTGCAGTTTCAGCTGATTCATCTTGTCATCCTTCTGTCCTCTCAAATTGAGCATGCCCTTCTATGTAATGAGATTATCATGTCTTCCCTTGCTTTTTGTCTCTACACTAGACCTCATTTTCTTCTAGTCTTCCTCTTATTTTTATTGTTTTTTCCTGAGCAATTTCAAGGCAGTTATCTCAACACAGTGCCCAGTATTGGATGCAGCTCTCTAACTGAGGGCTTGCTGGTACTGAGTAGAGCAGAACCAAGTACCTTATGTCCTTCGTGTGATGATACTAATATACCCAAACTGCAATTTGCTACTTCTGTCCAATGGCATCCTTAATGGCATTCATAAAGTCTGTTGTCTCATAACGCTCAGCCGGTCTTCTGCAGTAGTTTTGCCTTGCCTGCTCTTCTCCACTGTGCATTTATGCATTTGGTTTGTAAAATTGTGTGACTATTCTTAATACTTCTGTTTTCAGCCAAGCAACAGACATAATGGAAACAGCAGGCTGGAAGTCCATGATCCACTCCCACCCTCACTTAGTAGCAGAGGCCTTTCGCGCACTAGCATCTGCACAGTGTCCACAGTTTGGCATTCCACGCAAACGGCTAAAACAGTCATGAAATCTTCTATGAACTTTAGAAAAATTGAATTGACTCTACTCCTCCATGTCCAGAGGTGTTTTCACAAACCATAACAAGAGTTTTTGTTATCCTTGTCCACAGAACAGAAGCTGAAAAAGCCTATTGTTTGCTTTTCAGATGGATAATTTATGGTTTAATCCTCAGCTTTAAATTAGACTGATTACTCTAATTCACTGAAAGGCCTTAAATTATCTTCAATGACTCTAGTCCATATAGCCTAATGTATCTTGATTTTTTTATTATTATTTTTTAATGTGCCTTGTCTTTTTGACTAGGCTCTGCAGGATTGCACTAGCTCCATAATGCAGTAAAGTTGATAACTGAAGATTAATTTTTGAAAGGGATCTTCCATTATTTTCAGAAGAAAAAGAAATGCTTATAGTTTGGTCCTATGCTAACTGGAAGGTTTTAACTAGCCTCTCATTAAAAGCGCTTGAACCAGAGGCACGTAATGTACCCTAGACAAGCGCTAAACATAGGGAGAGCCTGTTTACCTTCAGCGAATGCCTACAGGCTATTTATGGCAATATACTGCTTTGAACATAATTTATTTTTCATTGTGGGGGCAAATATGCAATGGTTTGGCCCAAAAATGTATTTTCATTACAGTTTGTAATGCTTATTGTGTGTGTGTCAAAGCTGTCCAAATGGTAAAAAGAAACACAGAATAAACCTCTTGCTTGTGTTTCTTTACGGTCCATCATTAGTTTACATTTAATGCAGAACTGAATGAGAGGTAAAGAGTTCAATGTGAAAACAGAATAGTATTGTATAGGGAAAAATATATCCCACATGTATGGTTACATAGAAGAGTAAAGGATGCATAGAATGACCAAATGTAAATTGAAGAAATGGGCCAAATGGATTCTGAATATGCACTTTTAATGTGTAACTTTTGTATGTTGTGTGGTACATATATATTTTGCTTTTGATGAATTGAGGTACAGGTAATTGTGGCTTAACTTTTTAGATACATTTGAAGATGCCCACAGCCACATGGGATTTAGTTTTGTTAGAAAAGAGAAAGGCATGTCTTTTTAAGACTCAGTTGAAGGTGGCTATTGCAAGCTTTCATATTTAAGTAACAAAATATTTTCGCTTATTTGGAAAAGGCATGTGAATGGTAAAATTTTGAAGGGATTTTTCCCATCTTGATGTATGTGCACAGCTTCCATTAACACCTAGGAGGGTGTGTACACATCAAGAGGAATATTGCCCTGAAATGTCAGATGGTATTTGCAAGCAGAGACTTGCTGAGCCTTGCATTTCAGTTATTGTACTAGCATTGTGGATGGTATTGAAATTCTGCATAATGTGAAAAGGATGAAACATTTGTAAACTGCTTGTCACGGGCCAGTTCTTTATTATATGAACCTTAGCTTTAATATCAACATCCTCAGTGTTTGATAGCTTTGTTTACAATTGGGAGGAAAAGTCTGCAGTAGTGCACACTCTAAATGTTTCCTGAGTTATTGCATTGAGTTTACTGTAATAGTGATAATATGCTATCTTTCTTTTTTAGGAAGACTTGGGTTTAGCAGTGGGGAATAGGAGGAGATCTTACCTAATTTATAAACATATTTGCATAAGGGTTTTAATTTGCCTATTAAAAGTTATGCAGGGAGGAGAGAGGAAGAATTTCAGATTGTTTACTATCTTAAAATCGATCTCCATCCTCGTTTCGTTAGGATTCATCTGAATTGCTCTGAACAAAATTT